TTTCGTAATTGTAATCACGGTTTAAAAAAGACTGAATGTCTTCAAATTTTATTTTCTATTTAATTTAAATAAAAAAATACAAAAAAAATTAATTTCCAATAAATTTAATTTCATAATCACTATGAGATTTTAAAAAAATTGCCACTGCTAATTCTTCAGGATGTCTTTTAATTTTTTCAATCGCTTTATTATCAATACCTTTAAGAATAACCCTCCCTTTTAACGAACCATAATTAACATCATCACCATCTTCAACATAACATAATAAAAAAGTATTAAGAACCTTTCTATTTTCTTTTTCACAACTAAGACCAGCAACACTTTGTTTCTTTAAATGACTTTTTTTTGATATTACTTTCATAATTTTAAATTTTGACTTATTATCTTCATTACTATATTCTTCTTCCCAAATACCAATTATTTCATTATGTTTATTTTTTTCAGATGTAAAAAAATTTGACTTGATTTGATAATTATAATCGATTTTGCCGCTTCTAAGATAAGAAATAATTTCTTTTCTTATATTATTATCTCCAGAAACTTCTATAACCATTTTTTCACCAGATTCTTCGTCAGACATCTATTAACAATTATAAGATTAAAAATAAAAAAATAAAAAATAAAAAATAATAGTTTTTAATAAACGTACTTTGTAATTTTTAAACAAAATCTTGTTAAAATTATTCTTTTAATATGATGATTTTATATTGAAAATTAAAAACTATATTCGTATAGTATACGAAAAATATTATCGAAATGAATAAAACCAAAATAAGGTCTAAAAATGTCTTTGTTACAGAAATTCTAAATAAATATATAGGAATAAACAAAAGAGGAAGAACAAAGCTTTTAAAAATATATTTTATGTAAAACCAATTTTTGGGGTAAAATTTTTTTAAAACATCTTGTGTTTGAATAATATGCAAAACCCAGCCAGGTATTTTTTTTTTTTTGATTTCTTCGATAACTTTTTTTACTATTTCAATATTTAATATATAATCAATAACTTTATCTAAAAGAATATTATACCACCACATAATTGTTTTTATTAAATCTTTATAAAGACAAAATTTAAAAAATTGTGCTTCTTGATAATATTCATATGCGAGTGATTTGTGAATGATTATCTCATTTTCTTTTAATTCAAATATCTTATCATGATAATTAAACATTTCTTTTGTTATATTTCTAATAACAATCAAACCATCATTTATATTTTTTCCTTGTTTTATTAAAGTGATTTCTGCATCTATTTGCTCCAAAATTTCACTTGCAGAAGAATTTGTCATCGAATTTACATCATTAGACATTTTTTTCTAATTTATAAATAAACTTTATTTAATAATAAAAATAATTATAAATTTTAATAATATATTGATAGGCTATTTGAACATTGTGTAACCAATATTTTAAATAAATT